CCAGCTGATTTTTTGATTTATTGTAGAGATGAGGTCTTGAACCCGCGGGCTCAGGCAATCCGCTCACCTCAGCCTCCCAAAGATGCGGGATGACAGGCTGAGCCACCGAGCCCGGCTGTCATGTGTTTTTTTAAGACCAGTCTTAGGCCATTGCTTTACTAAACTCTGGTCTGGCCATAGCTGAACTCTGGTCTTTGAGCTATGGTCGCTATGTTTTCCTAGCTTTGGCCCCTTTCCCTAGCTTGAGGAGGTAAATCTCTTCTTTCTTTCTTTCAAATTTCTAAATTATATTTTCGAATCTGAAAAATTAAAAACAAACAAAAAAACAGTCTTTGGACTTTTACCAGTCTATACTCAAACAATCCTTGGTCTATGTTAAAATGAGAAAAATAATGGTGAGTATGTTTTATCAATTGCTGTTTATTCAATATAAAGAAATAATTTTTGGTGTTAAGATTTTGGGTCTTGCCGGGCTCGGTGGCTCAGCCTGTAATCCCGCACCTTTGGGAGGCTGAGGTGAGTGGATTGCCTGAGCCCGTGGGTTCGAAACCCACCTAGGCAACTTGGCGAGACCTCATCTCTACAATAAATCAAAAATGAGCCGGGCATGGTAGCGCGCGCCTGTAGTTCCAGCTACTTCGAAGGCTGAGGCAGAAGGATCGCCGGAGCCCAGCAGGTTGAGACTGCGGTGGCCGGAAGCATGCCACTGTACTCCAGTCTGGGCAACCGAGTAAGATTTCAACTCAAAAAAAAAAAAAAAAGAAAAGAAATACATAGTCTTTGCTTGCAGTATCAGTTTACTCTAGGACTAAGTTGAAGTTGGACAACTAAGTCCTGTAATGTGCTTACTATATATTATCATTTTTCCCCCAGCCTCTTCTGCCTTCAAGCAGGTATAGAAAAAGTCAGTGGAGAGATTGTGAGCATTTGTTTCAAGAATGTGTATTTCTTTGGAAAAGAGTGTCTTTTCTAAATTACTGACTTAATTCTCTGTACCGGTAGAATAAATAAATAAACACAATAGTACAGTAATATTTGAATGTATAAAGTATATCCGCGTAAGAATGAAATAAAAGTTATATGTCTTTGATCTTTCACTGGTAAGAGTATAAATATAGAATGCAAATAACTCTATCTTGCCACCTGTATCATTTTTAGAATATTTATCTTTAAATGCAATTTGTTTTTGGCAGAAAAATTAATCTCCCCTAAGAAAGTTGTTACATCACCAAGAAAACTTCCTCCACCATCACCAAAAAGTAGTGGACCAAAGCGAGCACTTCCTCCTAAAACTTTGGCAAATTATTTTAAAGTATCTTCCAAACCCAAAAAGAATGAAGAAATAGGAGCACTTCTGGAAAATAATAAAGGTGAGACATTAAACTGACAAATTTTCTTTTTCTTTAAGCTGGAGTCTCACTCTGTTGCCTAGAGTGCAGTGGTATGATCGCAGTTCACCACAGCCTTGACCTCCTGGGCTGAAGGCAATCTTTCTGCTTCAGCCTCCTAATTAGCTTGGACTACACATGCACGACACCATGCCTGGCTAATTTTTTTGTTTTTTGTAGAAAGGGGATTTCACTATATTGCCCAGGATGGTCTCAAACTCCTGATTTCTTTTTTTTTTTTTTTTTTTTGAGTTGGAGTCTCACTCTGTCGCTCAGACTGAAGTGCAGTGGCTGCCCCGGCCACCGCAGCCTCGACCTACTGGGTTCTGGCGATCCTTCCATCTTAGCCTTCCAAGTAGCCGGAATTACAGGCATGCGCTACTACGCCTGGCTGATTTTTTGGATTTATTGTAGAGATGAGGCCTTGCTGTCCAGGTGGGTCTCGAACCCGTGGGCTCAGGCAATCCACTCACCTCAGCCTCCCAAAGGCGCAGGATTACAGGCTGAGCAACTGAGCCCGGTTTCAAACTCCTGATTTCAAGCAGTCCTTTCACCTCAACCTTCCAGAGTGCTGGGATTACAGTCATGAGCCACTGTGCCCAGCCTGACAAAATAAATTTTACATTTAAAAATATGACCCTGAACATAAAAATTATGAAAATATTTCATGAGTTTCTATTGCTACTTATTAAACCTCAGCTACACTAAAGTTCCTATATATAGAAGTTTTGATAGTTTGTTTCAGGTTTGATAAGAGATTTTAGTTTGAGCTTATTCTGTGGAAATAACCAATGTCCTATTAACAGTTGATTTTACCTAAAATATTAATATTTTATTTATACAGGAATCAGAAATTCTTTTGACCAGAAACAAATTGTTCAGACTAAATCTACAAATTCACCTAATTCAAATGTCAAAGAATTTGGAGCTGGGGAACTCAATAGGAAAAATGCAACATCTCTTATTCTTTTTGAGGAGGTAGGCTTATAGTAGTTCATATTCATGATATATCATGCTGAAAACTTATTTTAAAGATTACTGTATGTTTCCTTATAAAGAAAGTCAGGAATACTTGTATCTGTGAAGTTAAAGCAAACAAAATTATCAACTCTAGAAGAATTTTTCGGGAAGGTGATTAGTGTAATTCATGGTTACTAGTTATTTTTCAATGATCGTAGAAATTATTTTGATTTATACTTATCAAGGTATTGGTGGTTACAGTTTTTCAAAATATTTGATAATTTTAAAATTCACTATAGTGTAAGACATAAGCTTTCAGATGGGCTGAATTAACTCTGTTCATATATTCATAACTTTTGTCTCTAACAGGTATACAGTATATATACTGATATCCAGTAAGTATATTGTGACTCATTACATTAATATTCTAATAATTGGTTTGTAGGTTGATGTCATTTTTGATGAAGATGCCGGGTTTTTGAATGCAATCAAAACATTCATGGCAACAACTAAACGACCTGTAATTCTTACTACAAGTGGTAGGTAGCAATGACTTTAATTCAGTTAATTACTTTTGGTTAAAATAGTCAGGGAAAGCTTCTAATTCTAGTTAGAAACATTTCTTTAAAAGACAGCCAAAAAAAAAAAAAGCAGCAAATTGTCTTTTTTTTCTAAGTGAAGAAGCTCCTAGATCATTTTTAAAGTAATTATTCAAATTTGCAACTGATTTGTAGCCTTGAATAATTACAAAGTTAATATATTACCTCACAAATAGCAATTTTAAAAAATGGATGCTACTATGGGTCACTGTGTTGGGTGGTAGATATTTAGGAAGCTGAGAACATCCTAGAAGGCAAATAAAGACATTTAAGGACTTGCTAGTAAAGGTGTTTCAGTAGAGAAAACATCAGATTCTTCTCCTTGCCACTTAAACATACCTGTAATTAGATCACTAAACATCACTTAGTGGTCAAGATTTTTTATGGAACCCAACCTTTCTGCAGTTCCTGAATATTGAACTTAGCCATTCCTTAGCCCCAATGACATTTCCATATGGATTATTGCATATTTTAGCTAAAGTAAACCATTATCAGCCTAACTGAATTGGTTTACCTTCTCTAGAATTAGTATTGAATGTTTAATTTTAAAAACTTGTGCAATTTATTTTTTTTTAATTATAAGTATTTTATTGTAATATTGTTTTCTAATACTTTTCATTATAAATATTCATGAGCTAGCTCTGCTAAGGATTTATATAAGAAAATGTGTTTGTAAGCCGGGCTCAGTGGCTCAGCCTGTAATCCTGCGTCTTTGGGAGGCTGAGGTGAGTGGATTGCCTGAGCCCGTGGGTTCAAGACCCACCTAGGCAGCGAGACCTCATCTCTACAATTAATCAAAAAATCAGCTGGGCGTGGTAGCACACACCTGTAATTCCGGCTACTCGGAAGGCGAGGCTGCGGTGACTGGGAGCGGCCACTGCACTCTAGTCTGGGCGACAGAGTGAGACTCCAACTCAGAAAAAAAAAGAAAAGAGAATGTGTTTGTATTAGACTGCTTACCGATTTTTTTTTTTTTTTTGAGTTGGAGTCTCTGTCACCCAGAATGGAATGCAGTAACACACTCACGGCCACCCCAGCATCAACCTGCTGGGCTCTGGCGATCCTTCTGCCTCAGCCTTTCAAGTAGTCAGAGCTACAGGCATGCGCTACCACTCCCAGCTAATTTTTGACTTATTGTAGAGATGAGGTCTCTCACCACATTGCCAGGGCTGGTCTTGAACCCACGGGCTCAGGCAATCCACTCACCTCAGCCTCCCAAAGTGCTGGGATTACAGGCTGAGCCACCTAGCCTGGCCAGGATGCTTACCAGTTAAAACCATTTGATAGCTAGTGATTTTACTCTGAAAATATTGGTAAAAACTTATTAATCACAAGTTATGTGGTAGCTTAATTAAAAGATCATGTTACTTTAAGTCAAGATAGAAAGTTAGTTCCTTAAGGATTTACAATTTCCATGGTATTGTACTTTTATTATTGATGAAATGCAGACTATTTTCATAGAAAAGTATAACTGGAAAAACGTATTGAGTGATCTTAATGTTTAAATTTTTTATGTCTGTGTAGATCCAACATTTAGTTTAATGTTTGATGGCTGCTTCGAAGAAATCAATTTTAGTACTCCTTCCCTGGTAAGTTTTGAATTTTGATCATCATAAATTATATATCACAGTTATGTGAAAAGTGGTTTATTATTAAGTATAGTTATAATTTTCAAGTGTGTTTTCTAAGGCATATTTTAAGTTTTAGGAAACTTCTGATTATTTCTTTTTTTACTTTAAAAAATATCTTTTTCAGCCAGGCACAGTGGCTCACGCCTGTAATCCTAGCACTTTGGGAGACCAAGGCGGGAGGATTGCTTGAGCCCAGGAATTCCAGACCAGTCTGGGCAACATAGTGAGACCTGGTCTCTATAAAAAAATTTTTTAAATTAGCTAGGTATGATGGTGTGTGCCTGTAGTCCCAGTTACTCGAGAGGTTGAGGTGGAAGGAAAGCCTGAGCACAGGAATTTGAGGCAGCAGTGAGCCGTAATCATACCACTGCACTCCAGCCTGGGTGAAAGAGTGAGATCATATGCATTAGATATTTGTTTATTTATTTATTTATTTATTTATTTCCTGAGTGGGAGTTTCACTGTTGTCCAGGCTGGAGTGCAGTGGCATGCTCACAGCTACCACAGCCTCTACCTGCTGGGCTCAGGTGATCCTTCTACTTTAGCCTTATAAACAGCTGGGATTACTGGTATACGCCACCATGCCTGGCTAATTTTGTGATTAGCTGGAGATGAGGTTTCGCCATGTTGCCCAGGCTGGTCTCAAACTCCTGATAATCCTCTCACCTCAGCCTCCCAAAGTCCTGGAATAACAGATGTGAGCCACCACACCTGGCCAGATATTTGTTTAACTTTCTAAGATTCTGCCAAATAGGTTCTCCAGTGCGTGAAACTTCTGGTAGCTGTTGTCAGTTTTTTGTTTTTTGAGTCCAGGTCTCCCTCTGTCTCCCAGGCTGGAGTGCAGTGACGATCCTGGCTCACCGCAGCCTTGCCCTCCTAGGGTCAGGTGATCTTTCCACCTCAGCCTTGCAAGTAGCAGGGACTACAGGTGTGCACTACCATACCTGGCTAATTTTTTATTTTTATTTTTTTTTGAGTTGGAGTCTCACTCTGTCGCCCAGACTGGAGTGCAGTGGCTGCTCCTGGCCACCGCAGCCTCGCTTGCTGGGCTCCGGCGATCCTTCCGCCTCAGCCTTCTGAGTAGCCAGAATTACAGGCATGCGCTACCACGCCCGGCTGATTTTTTTTTAATTTCTTTTAGAGGACTTGTCTCACTGTGTTGCCTAGGTTGGTCTGGAACTCCTGGGCTCAAGCAATCCTCCTACCTCAGCTTCCCAAAATGCTGGGATTTTATAGCTATTGTACCCGGCCTATTGTCAGTCTTTTTAACTTTAACCATGGTAGTGTTATTCATCTGTGCATATATGTTTGCTTTTTGTTAATTAGCTTTACTGAAACATAATTACATATAATAAAATTCACTCACTTTAAGTGTATGGTTCAATAAGTTTTGACAAATGTAGATACAGAACATGTCCATCAAGATGTAGAACATTGAGCCGGGCTCGGTGGCTCAGCCTGTAATCCTGCGCCTTTGGGAGGCTGAGGTGAGTGAATTGCCTGAGCCCGTGGGTTCGAGACCCGCCTGGGCAGCAAGACCTCATCTCTACAGTAAATCAAAAAATCAGCCGGGCATGGTAGCGCATGCCTGTAATTCCAGCTACTTGGAAGGCTGAGGCGGAAGGATCGCCAGAGCCCAGCAGGCGAGGCTGCAGTGGCCGGGAGCGGCCACTGCAGTCCAGTCTGGGCGACTGAGTGAGACTCCAACTCAAACAAACAAAAAAAAAAGATGCAGAACATTTTCATCACCTCAAAAAGTCTCCTGATGTCCGATTGTGTTTAGTCCCTTCCCCTAAGCCCTGGCAACTACCAGTCTGCTTTGTTACTACAATGTTGCTTGTTACAGAATTTCATGTAAATGGAATCTTATATAACATTTTGTGTTTACTCACCATGAAGCCTTTTCAGATTCATTCATGTTACATGTGTCTTTCGTTCTTTCCTTTTTATTAAAGCAGTATTCCATTGTATAAATATACCTAAGTGTGTTTATTCATTCACCTGTTGATAGACATTTGGGTTGTTCCTAGCAATTATAAATAAAGCTGCTATGAGTATTCATATTAATGTCTTTATTTGGACATATATTTCCAATAAATACTTTAAGTTGAAATTATGATCCATTAGCAATTGTAAAAGCCTAGCAACTTATTTTCTAAAGTTTTCCAGTGTTTTGTATTCCCACCAGCAATGTATAAGAATTCAGTTGTTTCACAAACTCATCAGGACTTGGAATTGTCTGTGTAAAAAAAAATTTTTTTTAGATTAAAAAATATAGTTTATGCTAGGAGAGGGAGGGGCATACCCCCATCAATAAAGGTATCTGCATAATCAACATTTGTATACCTAAACCTGAATTGTACCCATCTTTATAATTTAAAAAAAGAAAGAAAAAATATAGAGAGAGTTTATTTAAAAATCAGAGAAAGAAAGGGAAGGGAAAGAGAAGATTCACCTCCCTAAGGTGGGGTAAGGGGCCAAAGCCAGGAAGCATTGGCGAAACCATAGTTCAAAGAGCACATACACAGCCACACTAGAGTCTAGCATGGCAATGGCCCGTGTAAAAATTTTTAGCCATTTTGCTATGTATTGGTATCTCACTATACTTTTAACTTATATTAATATTTCCTTAATGACTTAGGATGTTCAGCATCTTTTCAGGGACCCATTTACCATCCATATCTCTTCTCTGGTGAAATATCTGTTCAAATCTTTTACTTGTCTTTGTTGCCCATTTTTAAAATCAGTTGTTTATAGTCTTATTGAATTGTGGCAATTTATAAATATATTCTGGATACAAGTTAGTATTAGATATGTATTTTATAAATATTTCCTGCCAGTTTGTGGCTTATTTTTTCATTTTTTTAATTGTTTTTTTTTTTTTTTTTTTGAGTTGGAGTCTCACTCTGTCACCCAGACTGGAGTGCAGTGGCCGCTCCCGGCCACCGCAGCCTCGACCTGCTGGGCTCCGGTGATCCTTCCGCCTCAGCCTTCCAAGTAGCCAGAATTACAGGCATGCGCTACCACGCCCGGCTGATTTTTTGATTTATTGTAGAGATGAGGTCTTGCTGCCCAGGCGGGTCTCGAACCCGTGGGCTCAGGCAATCCACTCACCTCAGCCTTCCAAAGGCGTGGGATTACAGGCTGAGCCACCGAGCCCGGCTCCATTTT